TCGCGCATGTAAAAGTATATTACAAGGGGGTATGGCGCAATTTTTAAAATACAGGGGGAAAACGCGCAGATTTCGTATAATACAGGGGGGTTTGGCGCAATTTACCCATAATAATTCTAGTCTTCTTGTGACACTTAGTAATCACCCACGAGACCTTTTAGTTTTTATACACACAAATCTATGACTCTTAGTAATCACCCAGGAGACCTGTTAGTCTCTCTAGACACAAATCCGAATGCCTTTTTTGCTTTCTTCATAAGCTAGTCAATATTAATTATAATACTAATACCTGTCATGCACAAGTCCCATGCATAGATCATGCACTATTCCACCTTCGCTCGTATTTATCCATGAATGTCAAGGCGATCTTGTCTCCATCATCCTCCCCAGGTTGAGGAGAATTCGCCTTCAAATCTGCATGGATCTCGTCTTCATCCGAGTTCTCGCCCAAATATGGCAACAAATGTTTGACGATGAACACGTCAGAAGTAGACGTAGACGATACACATTTGGAATAGCGTTTTCGACGTTGTCAACCGAACCGACTTGCAGGCAGACATCTTGTTGTGCTCGTGCGCAGAAAAACTGTCCTTAGTCAGCACCGCCCAAACGAAGTCACCGATTTCAAACTCAACATGTCGTCATCGAGCATCTACACTGCGCTTGTATGTCGCGGTTACCTCATCCAACCAAGCACACGTCAGACTCGTGAATTCGCCTCAAGTCCGCTATCATGTCTTCGGTTCTACGCTCGGACGCCTTACGCCCCTCCTCAACAAAAGCAGCGCGTGACAAAGCTAAAATAGGCAAATCCGCGATCGAAGTCGACGAACGGGGTAGAGATGGATGCAGCACGATCCGCACACCTGCAAATCAAAGCTATAAGTATTATGATGGCAATCGTGAGCTGCCGAACGATCGAACTGCCATGGACAACCTAAAAGGAGATGACATGCGTCCATGGGAACCACATCACACCATGCCTTGTCTGTACTTGGTCCCAATCGAAAAATTCACCAAAACGTGGAGGTCAACCGTAATAGCATTGTCGCGCTAGATCCACTCCGAAATAAAGGATGAGGGTGTGGCTCTGTCGATAAATGAAGTTGTTCGATGACATCCTGGGCCACCACGTTCTCGAATGAACCAAAGTCGATAATAAAGCGGCACACCTGACCAGCCACCGTGCACATCGACTCAAAAATGTGATGGCGCTTCATCGGTTGACACCGGGGGTGATAAACATGATACGGATAGCACGTGAGACCCATTGGATATATTGATCCAAGAACCAAACGTATAAATAGGCAGCGGAATCCCATATCAAAAATCTAGTTTGATCGTACCTAGAGCTTGAAAACCTCGACCTATTAGCTATATAATCAGCTGAGAACCTCGATATGGTGAACGCCACAAGATCTTGCTCAAGTATCTTGATAAGTTCTTAAAACACTTGAAACTCTACAAAAGAGAATTCAGATCTCACAAAATGATTTTTAATATTCAGCAATATTCATATCTTTTCTTAAAACACAAAATGGCCTTTTTAAAGGCTACAAAAGGTTCTTATGAGTTAATCATGTTTTTGGGACTCATGATGCACTAAAAGCACATTTTGACCTCATAAATAATCTTGAATAAAGTTTGAATGATCTTTTGACTTCTAAGACAACTTAAGAGACAAAATGGTCTCACAAATGCTAAAAATGGACAAATTATGGACACTTCAATTGGGCTTCATGACATGGTTGATATTATGTCTTCAATCCACAAATCAGTGTTCATGCGACTAATCTGGCCCATCTTCAATCGAGATTACTTCCGTCTTGTCTTGAAATTCAACAATAAAACAATCAAGGCTTCATTCATGTTACTAGCCATTTCTTTCATGATCGGTCCCGCATTTAGTTTCAACAAACCCATCATACTTTGAACGGAGAGCGTCAACCGAACCCCGTCATTCCCTTCTTCTTCAAAGGATTCGTCCTCGAATCCAAAAGTATATTATCTGCACGCATTGGCACAACATCACATAAGAACATTGAACTTGGCCGTCTTCTCCTTGTGGTCCTCATCGACCTCCACCACAACATCATCAATCTCGTTGTCCCAAATAGGAGGACCATCATACTCCAATGACTCCGGCACATCTTTGAACTTGTCTTCAAATAAAGGTGGACATTTGTACTCGGTTGACACGTGCTCGTTCATGAGTTTGGTGGCCTCCACATCTTCAAAGTATCCTTCATAGCCATTACCCCTTGGATTGCTTGATAGTGTCATGGCCCCATCTTGGGGCACGCTGTCTGCGTACGGCCCCCCGCGTCGCGTCTCCTTGTGGTTCGCCTAACGTACAACGACCAAGTACGTGGAAGATTTGCGTGGCAACTTGATCCCCATACGCAACATCATCTTTTCAATTCGCTCCAAAGTTTAGAAATTTGATTGTATGAGATTTTTCGTCTCCTCCATGTGATCCTTCCACTCCTTGTTGCACTTTTTTTTTTTTTTTTTTTTT